CTAAAATGCAACTATTAGTGGCATGGGATACCATGGTGAATCCAAAAAATTAGGAAGCATTGGTATTCACTGCCTTTGTTCCTTAAATGTCACACTTTTGGTGAAATGGAGATGGAGACTTAAAATGTAATCGAATAGTCTTTGGTAGAAATTTAATAAAACATGGCCTAATATCTCTTTTATTGATCGGAAGACGGTTGATAAAGCTTCTATTCCAGGTATTTGGTACCATTTCGAGGCTCGATTTTGAATTGGAGGATTAGGGTATCATTCTTGATAATTTGATAGAAAGGAATTTGGGTGGTTGTAACAACATTCTTTTATGGAAAGAAAAATGTTGTAACAACTTGGTTCCTAAAGACATGTTCCCAGAGCTTTATCACATTAAAAATTATAAGGATTGCTTAGTTAGTGACATGGTTAAATCTTCTTGTATTGAAGGATTTCAGTGGTGCTAGAAGAGACATCCCAGAGGTGGGATAGAGGCAAATTTATTGTTGGAGTTAGGTAATAAAATAGGGGTTGTAGTATTGGGCGACACTTAGGTTTAGAAAGTCATTGTTACCGGTTTGTTCTCGGTTAATTCTGTTATATGGTTATTATCGAAAGTTTTCAGTTTGGGGGTTAGCGACTTTACGTGGCGGTGAATTGGGTGCCCCGAAAAATGAATTTGTGTGGGGGATGTTGAAAGGTATAATCCACGTTCCTAATAATCTTATGGTTAGAGGTATGGTGTTGGGTTCGGTCATATGTCATGTAACACTCTAAATTTTCAAATAAGTTTTTCATTTTTAAAACCTCACAAAACACATTTTCACATTTCTCAAAATAACATTTATAAGTTGTTCAAAACATAAGGCAACAAAATTTTTAACAATATCCCAGAATCCTCAAAAAATAATCTCTAGCTGGTGTGTACAATCATTTCGGCGCTTTCCCGCGATCCTGAAAGGTACCTAAAGCACATTACACACAACACTGTAAGCACGAAGTTTAGTGAGTTCCCCAAAACACCACGCACAAACAATTAGCCTCTCAGGGCTATATGTCGATAAGGACCCTCTGATCATGTGTCTTAGTGATCATGTGTCTTAGTGAAGACCCTCTGGTCTCACAGCTCGGGTCGGACCCTCCAGTCCGGTATCTCAGTGAAGACCCTCTGGTCTCATAAGAATAGAATAACTAAATAAGGCACATGAGTAATATACATCATAAATCACAAAGACAAAATGCATGATATCATATAACTCAGTATAAGCACATAAGACTCTCCGGTCACACAATGATTACCACTCAGGTAAGTATAGTGAGAGGACTCACCTCGCAGAGTAAAGCAATATATCCCACACTCGAACTGCTGGTCTAGACTCCGCCTACGCATATCACAAAAATCTCTACTTAAAAATTATATAAAATGTTAAGCTAACTCCTTTACTAAATCTCCAAAAAAAGGTGAAAGACCATTTTACCCCTCCATGTTCTCCAAAGTCCACAACTTGACCCAAAGCTAAAATTCAACAGAAGTCAACACTCAAGTCAACAATCCATGTTGACTCAACTCGTCGAGTCCTCGGTACTCAGAAACCACAAAAACCCGAGTCAACTCGTCGAGTTGCTAGCCAACTCGTCATGTCCATGCAGAGTCCAGAAGACCAGGTAAAAACCCTAACCACTCATCGAGTTGTCTCATCAACTCGTCGAGTTCACTCTGAATCCTGAAACGGGAAAACCCAACTTAACTTGTCGAGTTGGATGCCCAACTCGTCGAGTTCCTCAGCCCTTTCTCATTAAACTCATTCCAGTCGATTCCAATGCTCCAAACTCCATATCCAACCTCCTAGGATGGAGTTACCACGTAAAGTTGCTAACTTTATGATCATGCAAGGCCTCACAAGGCAAAATCACCGAAAACTAAGTTCAAGAATGGGTTTAGGACATGAAGACGGGTCAAAGCTTCATGTACATGGGACCTAGAGAAGTCCAGATCTGAAACTCATACCCCTTGGGCAAGCTTAACTCGAGAATGGCCCTCATTTTGTACCAAAAGCCCATAAACTCACATAATAAGATATCTAAGGAATGGAAAGCCAAGGTAATGACTTTTTACCTCCAAATAGAAGCTACAACTGTATGAATGTTGGATCTAAAGACTCCTCCTTGTTCCAAGCTCTTCACTCTTCAAGCATCCTCCAAGAATGCACACTTTTGACTTCACATACTCAAAATATGGGCTAGCTCACTAGTGTTTCTCTCTGGACGTGATAGGCCGATGAGGGAGGCGGGGTAAAGGAGTTAAATTCCTTTAAATAGGGTGCAAACCCGAATAATTAGGGTTTTCCTTAACTATCCTCAACGCGTCGAGTCTAGATCTCCAACTCGACGAGTAGGCTTCATAACTCTTTCGTCCAGATCAACTCCAACATGACGAGTTGGTCCAACCAACTCGTCGAGTAGCCCCTTCAACTTGCACAAAATCCCCAAGTCCTACATCCAGGAATCGGGGTGTTACATGTCAGTTTTGTGGTGTTGTAGAATAATAGGTGGAGCATATTTTCTTTGGTTGTCACATTTCATATGAGATATGGATGTGGTTTCATAATTGGTGAGGCTTGCTCTCTTCCATTCCTAGGTGTTGTTCGAACCTCTTGTCCAGTTTTGTGATAATGGGCCGAACAAAAATGAGAGTAAGTTTAGGTGGGCTATGGTGTATATTGTGTTGTGGTCTATCTGGAAGGCGAGGAATGACCTTGTGTTCAATAAAATTAGATGTAATCCGTTAAAGACGACAAACATCATTTAACTTAATTCCTTTAACTGGATTAAATATTGACCGAAGTTTCAATCTTCAAATTGGTTTGATTGGTGTAATTTCCTTTTTGTTCCTTCCTTTAATATGTGTTTTTAATTTATCTAGCGTCTCTCTTTTTTCTTTATAAAAGTCTTCCATTGAGAAAAAAAATTACAAAAATAGGCCCTATGGTATTTCATAATAGGCACGTATAGTCCAACTTCAATAAAATGGACAAACTTTGTTCGTGTGTTATTTGAATATTATAAGGATCACCCCTAAGTCATTAAATCTAACTACAGAGCTCATTAACTACAATAAAATTACATTTTTACCCTTACCTTTTTTCATACATTTTTTTTTATTAAAATGTCCTATGGTTACATAAACAGCCCCCTTACCCATATCCACCCCACCATCTCTAGTTCAGAGATCTGACATCCACCATCATCTCCGACAGTCCAGAAAATACCATCATCTACGACACTCCGAAAAGACACAAACAGAAGTGTAAATTATTCAATTGAGTGAAGAACTAAAGAATGTGAATCAAAGGCGCCTTAGCTTTTGAAATGACTTCTCAGAAGATCGAATGTCCTGCACTCATCTAAGCTTCTTTAGTTTAGGATTCAAAAGAAGAAGTTTGTTGATATGGAAGTTGTGTTTTCTACATAGGTATTTAAACCTTGGAGATAGTTGTTAGATATAGACACTGCAATTTAAGATTTCATAGAATTGATTGTTTGAGAAGTTTTAGTTGACACCAGAAGTGTTTGGAAATGTTGAAAGGTCTGAGAGATTGTCAATTAAGTTTTTGCTTGATACATCAAGAAGGACGATATTCGATGTGAAGTTGGAAGAAAGATTACCGCCTAAATTATTGTTTTTAACTGGTAATCTCCTCAAATTGGTTAAATGACCTAGTTCACATGGAAATGATTGAATGAACAGAATCCAAGATCAAAGTCAACTAACTGAGAAAGGTTTCCAAGTTGTAAAGGGAGAAAAGAAGCGAGACTATTGTTAGAAAGATGTAATGATTGCAAACGAGAAAATGAACCAAAGTTCATAGGGATCGGGCCAAATAAGAAATTTAATGATAAATCAAGAGTTTTGAGATTGGCAAGAGATGAAAAAGAAGAGGGTATAGATCCTATCAACATATTCAACGACAAATTTAGAATCGATAGTGACAAAAGTTGCCTTGGAGAATTTTAGGATAATCCTTGTAAGAGATCCCTTTTTTCCCCTGCCCAACAAGTATGGCCAAAATGCCCTCTTCCGATCTCCTTCCCCAACTCATACATTGACTCAAAATTCCTCTGGTACCCGAAAGTCTCATCTAACACTTGTTCTCCCTCTCTGCATTCATCTTCATGTATCCTCCCCATCGTCGCCATGTTCCATGTTACCTTTTCCCTTTCCCGTGCCCTACCGTTTCATAATCGTCGACATGTTTACGAGAGAGAAAGAGATGCTGAAAATTCAAATTAGAAGGGCTTGATTAAGATTTGATAATTAACAATAAACAGACGAATTAAGCCAGTCAAGATGATAATTAACAATAAACAGATGAGTTAAGCCGGTCAAGATGATGGTGGTTGCTAGAGTGTTGGAGATGATGGTGGTTGCTAGAGTGTTGGAGATGATGGTGGTTGCCGAATATTTGAACTATAGACGGTGGGGTGGATGTGGGTGAGAAGGGCCATTTATGTAACTATAGTACATTTTAGTAAAAAAAATATATGAAAAATAAAGAAATAAGGGTAAAAAGGTAATTTACTGTATTTAATAGGCTCTATAATTAGATTTAACGACTTAGCACGATCCTTGTAATATCCAAATAACACAAGGAGCAAGTTTGTCCATTTTATTGAAGTAAGATCATAGTGCCTATTATTATGTTGGACCATTTTTGTAATTTTCTCAAAAAAATAAATAAATAAAAATTGAAATGGTCAAAATAGTAGACCTTTGGATAGATCGAGACGTGGTAGGGTATTGCATGCCTCTGATTTCTAGTCAACTATTGTCATATTAGGTGGGTTTCCTATTATTTTCGAGGTTAGGCGTGGATGTATATTGTCATATTAAAAGAAATAGCATATGAACTTGATTCCAGCTATAAATCAACTATTTATATATATATTTTTTCGCCAAAGACCAATATAAATGAAGACGCGCAAGGGGCAGATATAATTATCTCTAAGCAACTCGTTTCTTCTTATATTCTCAAACCATAATCAATAAACATACTCACCATTATCAGAAGAGAATGTCTTCTTCACGTGTAAACCTAGCAAAGTCAGTTATTCCACTGAAGGAGATCCGCTTGGCCACCCAAGACTTTAGTTCAGAAACTCGGATCGGACGTGCTGAATTTGCTAGTGTCTATAGAGGAAAACTTTCTAACCGCTGGCAAAACCAAACAGCTGCCTTCAGACGCTTATATCCAAGTAATTTCAAAGGACATGATGGGTTCCGTAATGACCTTGAGATGATTTCGAGCTTCAACCATGAAAATATCATCCCTTTCATTGGCTACTGTGTTGAAAATAAGGAGATGATTATAGCTTTTGGATACGCTATTAATGGAAGCCTTCAAGATCATTTCCAAGACCCCAATAAAAGACGTTGCCTAACATGGGAACAACGCCTAAAGATCTGCATAGGAGCAGCAAAAGGGCTCGAGTACCTGCACTCGGGTGCTGGAGAGAGCCGAAGAATAATACACAAAAACATCAAAGCAACAAACATATTGTTGGATGATAATTTGGAAGCCAAAATATGTGATTTTGGTTTTAGATCAAGGCCACTTACCATAGATACAACTTATGTCGGTAACAGCTTTTACATGGACCCCAATTATTTTGAAATTGGAAACCTCACGGAAGAATCAGACGTATACTCGTTTGGCGTGCTACTTTTTGAAACACTGAGTGGGATGCTGGCTAATGATACAAGGAGCATTGAAGATCGTAAGCCACAAACTCTCATGAATTTGGTCCGGCGCCACTATGAGGATGGGTTGGACCAGATAATTGATCCGTTTATAAGAAGTCAAATTGATAGTCGTTCTTTCAATACGTTTAAGAAAGTTGCATATCAATGTATTAGTTTCAAATCAAAGGATCGCCCTAAGATGGATACCATCATCAAGAGGATCAAGGAAGCATTGGATATCCAAGTAAGCCGTTTTAATTAATTATATTGCTCCAGTTACTAATTTTTTAGGAGATGTATTGTTTCCTTGAACGGGATATAAATGCCTCATATCTATGTTCAAATGAATTCATACTTACTAAGTTAATTGTCAACCACATAAACAATAAATAGTAGATTTCATTTCTTAGGGATTTTTTGTAGTTGAATGCTATAGGAAAATGACTTACAAGCCCAACGAAGTTTTCAAACCGTTCAAAAAACCTCAATCATGTTTTGTTTGTTCAAGAAAACGCAACCAACTTAACCTTTTGTCTAAAAAAGTCCAACGAAGTTTCCAAACCGTTCAAAAAACCACAATCATGTTTTTTCTGTTCAAAAGATTAAGTTTGTTGAGTTTTTTTAAACAGATCAAACATGGTTTTGGTGGTCTGAGTCAGTTTCCCGATATGGTAATAAGTTATGTCATCTGTTTTTCTTCTTTGACTTCCATATAATTGAACAAAAGTGTAAGTTAGTTGAGCTTTTTTAGACAAAATGTTAAGTTCGTTGGGTTTTTCTTGAACAAACAAAACATGATTGAAATTTTTTGAATGCTTTGGAAACTTCGTTGGCTCGTAATTCATTTTCCCAATGCTATAAGACTATAATAGTTTGGCGCTTCTAAGCAAACTCTTTTGTGTCTATATTTAGTCACAAAAACACGGAGCTGCTTTAACCATTACCATACGAATGAACCGATATCAAAACCTGGAGAGGTGTCTAATCCCACTGAAGGAGGTCAACTTGGCCACAGGGTACAAGAGTCCAGAAACTCGTGTAGGAGTCGGTGGATCTGGTGTGGTCTACAAAGGTCAACTCTCTGAACGTTGGCAGAATCGCACAGCTGCATTCAAATGCATATATCCCACTCGTTCACGAAGAGAGCAAGAGTTCCGTAATGAAGTTGAGATGATGTCAAGCTTCAACCATGAAAATATCATCCCTTTTATCGGCTATTGTGACGAGGGCAATGAGAGGATTATAGTTTCCGAATATGCTATCAATGGAAGTCTTGATCAACATCTAAAAGACCCTAATAAAATCCGATGCATAATATGGGAACAACGCCTAATGATTTGCCTAGGAGCAGCAAGAGGACTCAAGTACCTTCACTCGGGTTTGGGGGAGCAGAACAAAGTAATACATAGAGGCGTCTCAAGTTCAAACATATTGTTAGATGGAAATCTTGAAGCAAAATTTTGTTGTTTTGTTCTGGCAATATTAGTCGACGGAAATCAGCGAGAAGTCTATGAACCTGCTGTGGGTACCCCATTTTACATGGATCCAATTTACAATGAAAGTGGCATCCTTAACACAGAATCAGACGTTTACTCGTTTGGGGTGGTATTATTTGAGATGTTGAGTGGTATGTTAGCTTATAATCGAAGGAGGATTGGTGATGATGAGCCACAAACACTCATAAATTTGGTGCGACACTACTATCAGGACGGATTGGAAAACTTAATTGATCCTCATATAAGAGATCAAATTAATATTCACTCGTTCCATGCATTCAAGGAACTTGCATATCAATGCATTAGTTTGAAGTTAAGAGATCGACCTACTATGAATAGGATCATCAAGAGGATTGAAGAAGCACAATATATTCAAGTAAGTTGTTTTTTTGTTATTTAAAAATGAAAAGTGTGAAATGAATTTCTATTCTTGCATCAGGTTGACGCCTAGTTAAAAAAATATAAACAATAAATGTAACATCTTACGTAATGGATTTATCTTCACAGAACCATGGAGTAGCTTCCACCATTGCTACACCAAGCCACCAATGTCAAAACCTAGAAAGTTTTCTAATTCCACTGGAGGAAATCAAATTGGCAACCAGAGACTTCAGTGCTGAAACTCAGATTGGAGATGGTGGATTTGGTGTGGTCTATAGAGGACAACTTTCTGAGCTCTGGAAACATTGCATAGTTGCTATCAAACGCCTTGATCTCAAAAGTCACCAAGGAAAAGATGAATTCCTTACCGAGCTAAAGTTCATTTCCACTTTTCATCATGACAACATCATCTCCTTTGTCGGTTACTGTGATGAAGACAATGAGATGATCTTAGTTTACGAGTATGCAAGCAACCATAGCCTTGATCATCATCTCCAAGACTTAAAGAAGAGGGGTCGTCTAACATGGTCACAACGCCTCAAGATTTGTTTAGGGGTAGCAAAAGGACTCAACTACATCCACTCAAGTCTAGGTGAAGAAATTAGAGTCATTCACAGAGACATCAAGAGTGGAAACATATTGCTAGATGAAAATATGGAAGCCAAAATTTGTGATTTTGGTTTATCGAAACAATCCCCTAGAAATACACAAGGTACGGAAATCTATACAAAAGCTGCTGGTACTGTTTTTTACTTGGATCCCATTTACCAAGAAAGCGGAATCCTCCATAAAGAGTCAGATGTGTACTCGTTTGGCGTGGTATTGTTTGAAATCTTGAGTGGGATGTTGGCTTACCATCGAAGGAGTTTTGGAGATGGTAACCCACAACCTCTGATAAATCTTGTACGACGCTACTATAACAACGGACTTGAGGAATTAATTGATCCCCTTATTAGAGATCAAATTGATAGTCGGTGTTTTCATATATTTAAAGAACTTGCATACCAATGCATTAGCTACAATGTCAAGGAACGCCCTACGATGGAAACCGTCATCGAGAGGATTGAGGATGCAATGGATTTTCAAGTAAGTCGTCTTATTTAAATATTTGGAAGGTATTAATATTATGCTTTCAAAAGAAAGAATGAAAACAAGGATGGATTGTAAAACGTGATATCTTCCTCTAATATTATTTCATGATATGTATTATACAAAATAATTATTTGTTTGATAAGTTTTGATCGAGAAAGTCAAGCCCATCCCAAAATTAACAAGATGGTTTGCTTTTGATTTCATTATGCGTAATTGGAAAGAAATTAAAGAAAGGAAGAGATGGATGAACGAGTTTGGAATTGAAGCGAACTTTCGGTGAAAGAAGGGGTCAAATTTAATTGCAGACATCGATTTTTTAGAAGGTGGTGTAGGCCTAGAAGGTGGTGTAGGCGTGTAGCAATTGTGAACCATACACTTGGGCTCTTTCATTAGAGTTTTGATAAAGGGACATCTACAATTTATTTAAATTATTAGACGAACGTGTGTAGGTACAAAATTAAAATGAAAAATAATTTAAAAGTGTAAGGGAGGAGGGAGTGATTCCCTCCGAACCTACAGTCACATCATTTTTTCTCTTTTATTTTTCTTCATCTTTCCGAACCCACAATACACGGAAATCTTATCTTTTTGAACCCACTCAACTCACTCAATTAAAAAAAAATACAAAACAACTAAGGTACAAGTTTTAAAACAGATGGTACAAGAGAAAATAAGAAAGAGAAAGTAGAGAGAGATGATTAAGTGGGTTAGTGAAACCAATCAACCCACTTGTTGAAGCAGGAGTGGTACCGCCGATAACTCTATTGCTAATTAAGATTTTATATTTGATTGTTTTGTATTTTTTTTTTTTAATTGAGTGGGTTCAAAAAGATATGATTTTTGTGTGTTGTGGGTTCGGAAAGATGAAGAAAAACAAAATAGAAAAAGTGATGTGGCAGTGGGTTTAGTGGGTTGAGAGGGAATGACTCCCTCCTCCCTAATAGACTATTGATTTTGTTTATATTTAGTTTTTATTTTTTATTTTTTTTAAATCTTATACATCAAACTTGTTGAAATTGTTCATATTTTACCCTTATGATCGGCTGCTGATAAAATATGAAAAAATTTAACAAGTTTGATGGTATATGATGCACAAAAAAAGGACTAAACATAAACAAAATAAAAGCTCTTTTGAAAATCAATATTTGCATGAGAACGTGAGATTTTTTCTGGACAAATTTTTCAAAACCAACACCACCACACCATTCTTAGTACATTGTCTAAGTCAGTCGAACAATAATAAAAAATGATTTTGTTGTAATTTGTATATATTTGTATGTATATAGTTGGGGGTCATTTTTTTATAGTTAGACTAGGTTATCAATGTAGGGAAAATGATATTGTAACACATTAAAGTTTTGTTATTTATCCGATTTGGTCACTAAAGTTATTTTTTTGCGCAATAGACCACTAAACTCATATTTGACCTGTCAATAAGCCATTATGCTCGAATTTATCAGATTACCCGGCAATAAGGCTGACATGGTATTTATAATTAATTTATCTTTATATTTTAGGAGCCACATCATATAATCCACATAAGCAATAATATATTTTGGTATTTATAATTATAATTAATTTTTTAACCTTGGATATATCGGACGTCTCTTTCTTTTTCTTGCCTCCTCCTCCTCCTATGCTTCTTCTTCACGCATCCTTCTCACCTTTGCAAGTGGGTTCCGATATTTGTTGGTTTCCGATTCTGATTTGCTTCTAGTTTCTGATTTCCTGTTTCTAGGTTCTTTTTCCCAATTTGCTAATTCTGATTCTGATTTGTTAGATTAGGTTGACGGCTTCAATGGAGGAGACGGCGTTTGCCATTGATCTGACGCTTACATATCATCAGAATCCCTGATTCCCACCGTCGACTGGTGATTTCACCATCTGTTTTTCCAAAACAGGTCGAAGCTTCAATTTGTGTAAAATTTTTGCTGAAAAGGACTTCCAGTCGTTCTCCATCGTCCCTCTTTGTGAACTCCTTCCATACTTCAAGTTCTTCGGCCTCACAAACAGGTATATCAAGTTCTGTTTTTTATTATGATTTTAGATTAGATAATGGATTTTGTTCTTGATTTGGACTTTTTCACGATTTCCCGATTTTAAATTTTGGGTTTTGTTCTGATTTTGATTCCGACTTTTGCATCTGGGAATTCGTTTTGTTCGGCTTTTGATTCTAGTTTTTGCATCCACGAATTTTTTTCTTCCATATTTGTTGCACAGGCTTCGTTTTTTGCATCTAGGTTTCTTTGATTTGGATAGTATTCATTTTTCCCATCTGTGTTCTTTGACCTCTAAAGGAAAAAATAAGAATCAGGCTTCATTTTACAATATGAATCGTTGAATGCTTTGATTTTTATTTTGCAGATTAAGTAAAGAATTTGGTATTCGATTTGTGTTCTCTTTCAAGAACCCATATGAACGACTGGTTTATGATTTGCGATTTCTGGAACTACTGAGGAAACTGGTGTTGCAGGTCAAATTCATCTGACGTGGAGACGAATTTTTCGGTGGTTATTTATTTCTAGTTTCCGGTTACGATTGCCAATTTTAGGGAAGTTCTATACGAGGGCATTACTAGAGGCAGGGTGAGATTAGGTAGTGTGGGTTGTAGAACACAATGAATTCCATGAACTCCATTTGGTGAACCTGTCATGTCGATCTCCATCTAATTACTTTTTGTGTGCATGATTGTTCTCTGTTTCATGTCCTGCAACATCAATCTCCAGATTTTGTTGGTGGTGGTGAAGGGTGATGGTGGTGGGAGGTGGGTTAGAGGAAAATGAGAAGTGGTGGTTGTGATTCCAAAAGAATAAAGACAAACTAACGTGGATTAACAACATGGTTCCTAAAAAATATAAATAAAAACTAATAATTAATGGCACATCGAAATATTTGATTTTTTAATTTTTAAAATATTCGAAAAAAAAGCCACCTAAGCAAAGGTAACCGGTGAAACCGTTTGATTTTTTATACAAAGTCAAATTATATATAATTTCGATTTATTATAATTTTTAACTATTGTTATATTAAACCAATTAAGAACTATTCATTTGACCTTCAAGTTTCTAATTGATTTAATGGGCTGCTCATTGATTTTCAATATTTATTTTCTATTTCAATTAATTTTGGTTGAAATTTATTTAAATATTTATATATAAAAAATATATTTTATAAATTGTATAAATATGAATTATTTTAAAACAACATTAACCTTTTAAATAATAAATGATGGTATTTAATAATATCAACATTTTTTTGTTTATAAAATTTATAATATACTCTTATTTGTTAAATAAAAATAGATAAAAAGAGTATCACGTAACTGAAAAAGTTTACATTAATGTTAAGAAATAAGAAAATAGATGAAATCTACAAATTTGAATACTAGCTAAGGGTTTATATATGTATTAGTTTATACCCGTGAGAACCACGGTTATAAAATTAATTAAACTTTCATATTAAAAAATCAAAGATATTAATCAATTCTTTTAAATAAATTATTACTTAAGAGATATTTTTTTAGTTCTATAAAATTATAATTTTTGATTTAAATAAATACGTGAAGTTATATCACCTTATAATATGTATTAATTTAATTTTAGTTTTTTAATATAATGTTATTAGTTTAATATAATTAGAGTGAAAAAATTTAAAATTTGAAATTTAAAATGAAGAATCAATTAATAATTTAATGTAATTAGAGTGAAAATTTTAAAATTTGAAATTTAAAATGAAGAATCAATTAATAATTTAATGTAATTAGAGTGAAAATTTTAAAATTTGAAATTTGAAATTGATAATTAATAGGTTGACAAGTGGCATTATATGTAACATACAATATTAATGAGGAGTTCTAATAATATGACACTTAGCAATAGAAGAATAAACTTATTCATTTATTAGAATAAGGATTTGACTATTCACTATACCACTCAAATACAACGGTTAAGGGTATTTTAGTGTGATTTATAGTCAGAATAACAAAATCACACTGAATATGTGGTTTGAGATTTGTGAAAATCATAAACCGTACAAAATAAATTCTAAAGCTTATAATATGGTGCAATGTGGTTTATGAGTTTTTATGCAATTTGAAAAAGGAAGTCAAAGCTCAACTCGAGATCAACTGTGTATATATTTTTTAAATTAACTCGAGATCAACTCCGTATATTTTTAAAAGTCAACCTCATTAGAATAAAATAATAGAACTTTTAACTATATATTTCATTGAAATTTAATATTTGGAAAAATATTCAAGGATTAAAAGTGCTTATAAATTATACAATTTTTTTAACTTTTAAAAGAGATGTTTATTAACAAAATATTTTTTTGTAAGTTTGTCTAACATTACAATTTCAGATCAAACTTGCCTTTATATATTTTTTGTTTCACGTTCACAGATTAATTTCCGAATGCCAAGCATTTAATTATTTCACTAGTAAACAATCACATTTCACACTTTGACGAGAGGATTACCTGCAGTGGCGAATCTAGAATAGAATAATACGTGGTTTCTAATTAAGTGAAGGCGGAAAAACCAAATATTCAACACTATATATGACAGATCGGATCGGGTCGAACCAATAAAAAAACGATCGGTTTGTAAAAACTCAAGTTCAACCGGACCGATAGAATAGCTAAAAACTACTAAAATCAGTCTACTTAACCCTAAAAGCTGATTTTTGCAACAAAAAACAACTACTTTGCACTACCGAAATCATTTTCTTTTTAAAAAGTTCATTTGCACCGGCCACTTTGTACGACCAACAATATGAGAGAAGTTATGTTGTTTTTTAAATTTCCTAATAATCATTCATACTTTATTTTTATAACATCAAACAACTTCAACTCTTTCATTATCTCCGATGTATGATAGGTTTTGAAAGTATTAACCATTTGCTTTGAAATTTAAGTATAAATCCTCCATTATTTTTTTGTTTTTTTGTTTTTTATTTTATCAAATAGTACTAGATAGGTCCTAATTTTTTTTGAAGGTAGTTCCTATTTTTTTTTCTATACAAATATAACATAAAGTTAATAAATTAGGTGAGTCCTAGGACCCACCTTACTTGTAAGTGGCTACGCCCCTGATTACCTGAGTTTTGTACCACCAGGTGATGGTATTTTTAAAAAAATATTTAACAATCTCTTATGTTTCAGAATTTAATTACTTAAAGATAATTAATTAGCTTTTTGTATGCTGATAAGAACCAAATTCCTAATATACCCTTCAATTTCTCGTTTTCCTGCCCTAAAACTAACCCCAACCGCCTCCTTGATCCCATTCTTCCTTTAGCTATCAAAAATCCACACTACAAGAAAAATAATATACAATCACAAGTATTTTAGCCTTAAAAATGTGACGATATCCATATAGTCACTCTTTTTTTTTCGTTTAAAGTGTCAATGTATGTCGTGACACCTTAGGCAACTTATGGTCATATTAAATTCAAATTTTAAACATGTTACTGTAGCATGAAAAACTTTAGCTATTTTGTATGCATTTAATCAAGGATTTTACCGAATATTTGGCCGTAAATACTTTTTGAACACAAATTTTCGTTAATTAAACGACGTTAGGTGACTGTATGGTGACATGAATGTGTTATTAGTGTGTCGTTTGATATTATTTTGTGACGCATAAATTTTTTGAGTATGACTATAGCCTACCTTTTAGTTACATAAAAAGTAATTTAAAGTGAGGCATATTTATTTTTAACCATGGTTAGTTTATATTTGATATGACTCTTGCTTGCCATTTAGTTACATTTATTCACATTAAAGCATGACATATGACATCATCTAGTCACATATAGAAAACTCATAAAGAAAAGAATATGACTATTGTTTGCGTTTGGTGATACGTAAGTGTTAAATCGATCGCTGAATAGTACTTATAGCATCAACCATTTATTTAATTGGTGTGGTTATTTCTTACCCTTTAGTCACATTCATTTACGGTAAAGCATGACATATGATATTATTTAGTCACATAAAAATAACTCTTAAAGAAAAGAATGTGCCTATTTTTTTCTTTTGGTGATACATAATTGTTAAAATCGTTGTTGAATTGTATTTATAGCATCACATTTATCTAATTGATGTGATTATTTGTTACCATTTAGTGACATCCAATTACAACAAAACATGACATATGACTAGGCCCGACCGAATACATGGGCGAAATGGGTTCAGGCCCAGGGCAGCAAATTTTAGAGGGCATCATTTCAAGCCAATAAGTGATATTATATAGAGTTGGCCCACATAATTTAGCACATATGAAGGTTACTGATTTCTGTGAGTATTTGTCAACATATTACACATACATCGAACAGTTTGAGGCAAAGCTCAATGGGCGCCAAGAATTGAAATAATTGGAGCTACCAAGACCTTGAGAGATGTAATCGACGCCTAGAAAAACTCACTCTGTAGAAGATCGAGGAGTCGACTGCTTCTTTAAATCGATGAATCCTGATTTCTAAATCTATCTTCTATTTATTCTATTCTCTTGATTCCAAATTTGGCGATTTGTATGAATTGGAGTTCGAACCAAGATCGTTAATTTTGTATTTCTATTTTCTATTTTTTTTAATACTATTTTGATTCAGATCTAACCAAATCGCATCAGATCTGATACGTTTTGTGTGTTTAAAGAGAGAAAGTGAAGCTGAAACAACTTCTTGGCTCCAGATCTGAGACCAAGTGGCAATCGACAGTGATGGATGAAGGTGGTTGTTATCACCGCTCGCCAGAGCTCATAATTTGGAGGAGAAAATCGAAGATCTGAAGTCGAAAATAGTAGATCTGAAAACGAAAATTGTAGATTTAAAGAGAGAAATCATAGATCTGAAACTGAAATTGTAGATCTGAAGAGGAAAATCATAGATCTGAAGCTGAAATTGTAGATCTGGAGCCAACCGAAACTTGTGGATCTGATGGCGATGGTTCGTGGGCGGTAGGAGGCGGCGGCGGTTCGCCGACGGTAGAAGGCAGTGGCAAACAAGGGTGGTGGTTGGTAGCTAACTGGTGGTAATGTTTGTGTGTTCTTCAAGTTTGAAATGAGAAATAAAATAACCATGTGAGAGTGTATGTAGTGGGTGTAGATCTGATTATAAAATGGGGTGCTTACGATTCTTAACTTTTAATGGTTCTTATTTGATCTTTTCTCTCTCTTTATATAATAGATTATAATTATTATATATAGATATATAGAGATATATATATATATAGATTACACATATATATATATATATATGTATATATATATATAGCCACATTTTGTGCTTGAGTTTTTAAGCAATAAGAATATATATATATTATAATATATATATCTATAGATATATATATATATATATATATATCCCTAATCCTAATAAAACACTCCTAAAACCGCCACATGTCACCCTTACAGTCCTCATTGTTTCCACGTGGCCTCTTTATATTTACCCAAATTTTGTTTTCCCGCTAATTTTCCTTTCCTCTGCTAACGGATGTCATCCCCAAAAATCAGGAATCCAAATTAAAAACTTGGTTGTTAGCCCAATAAATCAGGAATCCTAATTCATTTCTCAATCTCTATATTTATAGTATGCGATATGCGATTCCATTTACGCCTTACAAAAATCAACAATCAACATCCACAAATTGACTCATTCCGATTTTGAAACGACTTCAATTTTTCTTTTGTGTCTTCTTCATGTACTGAATGTGTTATTCTGTAGGTTTTTGGGTTCGGAATTTTCTCGATCAGGGGGGAGGTATTGCTTCTAAGGTTATCGACACCATCGACAATTTCTGTAATTTTCTAAAAAAAAAAATTGTACCAGGTATGTAATTCTCTTTTTTCTGATACACGATCATCTGGTTATCGATTCTCTTTTTAGTTGGGATTCATGGACTAAAATCTCCTACCATATTCAATCAAAACATTTATCTATTAATTCAAACTTAATCCTTGAAGACAAGGTGTTTGCTGAAATGCTTGACTGAAAAGTAACTTTGTGTCGGACTATTATGCCCTTGGTTTGCAATCTGTTTGTTACATGAGGGGTTGATTTCTCTACAAAAGGGAATTGTTTCCAGCTTCTACATGATAGACCATTTTGCCTTTGCTTAAATTATAAATGTGATAGACTACACCCAAATAGTTGATTTCATTATCCCTCTTTCATCATCTTCTGCACAATATTTGTTACACATTTACAAGATTTGGATTGCTGACTACACCTAAAAAATGGACTTCATTAATCCACTCCTTATGCCCCTGTTTTCTTACAGGCTTCTGTTATACTCTTGATTGCTTACTTTTATGTCATAAATCTAATATTTTTAAAGGGTTTCATGTGAACATATGGCAAGAAGTTCAGTTAGAAAAGGTTATTTTGGATATTTTATAAATTAAGTAAAAATGTTATAACCAGCCTAATAAAACTTGCAAAACACAGGATATGTCCCAATTTTTACAACCAAAAGGGCCAAAACCTGTTTTAAGTTATTAGTTATCTTCTTACTTTCTTGGGAAACCTCTTAGGTGACATAAGATAGAGAATAAATTTGGAATATCCCCTGTCACGATTTGCCAGCTCATTCACATATTTGTACTTCCAATATCAGAAAGTTGTAATCTCTGCATACAAAACCTTAGCTCTGTTCAGGATTATGATGAATTTGGACAATATTTATCTCTATTAATTTTTGGAATGTATGCTTCCTATATAAGTCATGTTTTATGGTAATTTACGATTGATCAGGTCAAATTTTGTAACTTAAAGAGATCTAACTATTATCAACTGGGGAGTACACCTTTAGTATATAGTTGTTAGTTATCCAACCAATGGAAGGTATAATATAGGATAATTGTTCGTGCTGCAATGCTAGATCAGACGTTATAATCAATAATGTTTAGAGACTAGAGAGTAGAGAGTATCAGTTCCTGTTTCTGATTCTTTTTAAAGAATGATTTATGTGTTAAAACTTTTTTTTATCAGCTTTTCTCAATTCATCCACCATTAATTGTAAGAAGCTAAGCTTAATTTTGTTAAATGGATCTGAATTTCATGTTTTTCAATATTACTTTGTCATGTCATCCAGCTATATGTTAAAAATCTTCCTTTTAGAGAAAATTCATATTACATATTACATATTACATGGTTCAAGTTATCGTAAATAGTGTGAGGTTCTAAGAGTCCCTTTTGTTTGTAATTATATTATCTTAAGTTTTTGTTTTTTTTATGTTGTTAATGACTTGATGAATCCAACATGACAAAATCTAAGAATAAGGGAGAATAGTCAAAGTAAAGTTCTTTAACTTCTTTACCGATACATGTTTTATCATATTATCTCCATACAACTTCAAAAAGGACAAAATGGTCATTTTAACAAAAAAAAGGATAAACACTCAATTTTAGAAATTTATAAAACTTTGTACAATTTTATTATTTATATCAATTTCTGTTTTTGTTTTATTTAATTTTATTTTGCATTCTACAAAATGATAATTTTCTAACAGATCTACAAATACAAATTGACGATCAGATATTCAAACCACTATATTTTTGTAATTTCAACCACTATATTTTTGTAGATGTCCAAGCAAGTCAACCCACGACTATTGTAAGTAGGGTGGATGTTGCTATAATGGATGATGAGATAGACTCAATAATTTGATACACAGCACGATTGATATGACACAAACACGATGTATATAGGTTTTATAAATTCATGTTTCATGTCTATCGACACAAATTTTAAATTCATGTTTCGTGTTTTATGTGTGTCAAACACAAATATACAATTTTAAACACATATAGACACAAATTAAATTTGTATTGACACGTTACATGTATAAAAAAGATAATAAGCACAAATTAAATTCGTGTAAGTTTATGTTTATCGGTGTTTTCATGTAAAAAAAAAAAAAAAAAAAAAAAAAAAAAAAAAAAACATGTTTATGTGTCATGTCATATATCAGACTGGATTAATTACATGTCATGCTCATGTTTGATGCCAAAGACACATGTTACAATTCATACAGTGTTTGTGTGTCTGACACATATATACAACACATATACAACACGCAAACACAAATTGCCATGTCTGTTGTGAGGAGCAAAGGTTGGTTGACCAAAATAGTGGCAAAACAGCAAGAGATAATCATGAAAATTATTAGAACATTGTATAGGAGGAAATGTAGACTAACATATAAAATCTCTTTCTTCACTTATTTAGTAAAGAGTGAAGATTAATTATTATTACCTTCATATAATACCTTTCTAAACCTTTAAATTCTCTTGTTTTGAAACCATATTCAAACATAATTTCAGATTTTACCATATAGAAAAAACACAACCATGATATGAGACACGACAGTTATAAAACATAAAAACCAAACCACTTATTTCCGGAGTTGACCTTTGAACCCCAAACACATTACAAGACCTTTCTCATAAACCAAAGGGGTAAATATGTCAATATAGCTATCCTGCCACCTTGCTACTATACCCCTGTGATCTTCCAGAAAACAAATCGGATCTACCATTTGCCATTCCAGCCTTCATTGGTGGTGGTGAAGGTCTCCCTCTTCCACTTCCAATCGTCATATTTCCAAATTTTTCACCTGTTTCACCAACTCTTTCTTTTCCCATATATACCCCTCCTGAAATTATTATCAATTAATTAATCTATATATCAAATATGTGAAAAAGATGCAAGTATAAAAATAAATTCTTACTTGGATTATTAATATTGTTTTTAATGGGTGGCTGATATTTTGGTTGTTGCTTGGTGGAAGATGAGATCTTATTTGTCTTTTCATTTACTCCATCTTGTCTATTCAATTCCAATCTTCGTTGGACACCTGTTTTTTTTTAAATTAATCACAACATAAAAATATATGCAAAAACAAATTAGATTAATTAAAAAATATATTATTACCTGATTTTAGAGATGCATGCATTTTGGCAGATGGAGTAATATTTGGCTTTGAATTGGGTAAAGGATATTTCTTGGCACATTTCTGTTCCACAGCTCTTTTTGTAGTTAAGCCAGCTGCAAAAAACTCAACAAATTACAAATTTGCCCTTGTTTATAATCGTAATAAAATCTCATTAAACTTCAAGAATTGTGAGTTGTGAGAGAGAGAGAGAGAACAAACCAGATGGAGGTGTTTTAACAATGGTAGATTTAGGGCGAAGAGAAGGTGGAACATAGTAACAACTCTGCAGATTTTTTAAGAAATTACAATTTAGCCCATAGACATATAACTGTTATTGATAATTTTAAAAAAAAAAAAAAAAAAAAAAAAGGAATTTGAGAGTTTTTACCTGAAAGAAAGGATGTTGAAGAGCTTCCATGGCTGTTGGCCTCTTACATGGATCCCAAGAACATAGTGACTGCATAGCATAAGAATAAATATAAATTTTATTTCACATTTTTTTTAAAAAAATAATATTTAAAAAAAAATATTGGAAACAAATCTTACTGCAATCAGATTGACTCCATCTTTGCTTGCAGATGGTACGAGTGCAGAGAGATTTACGCCTGCAAGCTGCTAACAAAATAAAAAAGTTTATTTTTTTGTTAAAAAAACAATAAATAAAATATAAAAAGTATTAAAAAAAAAAGTAACTAACCTCTGGAAATTGATAATTGACAGTAGTTGCAAGCTCAAGTCCTTCAGCCCATGAGCTTTCTGTTGGGCTTCCTATCACTTTGCAAATTTTATAAATTTCATCTGCTTCACTGAAAATTTTACATTTTTTTATAAATTTCATAAATTCATTTTGCAAAAAAAATAATTTTATTTATATGAGAGAAGTAGACACCACATACCTTGAACCTGGGAAAAGTGGTCTGAGAGTAAATAGTTCAGCCATGATTGCTCCCATTGCCCACATATCTATTATATTATGATTTCCAAGAATTTATTTTTTATAAAAACTTTTATAAAATTTAAATTTTTGTATTTTATATAAAGTTTTTACTCACCAACTGCGGAACCATATGTTGGTGACTGAAGAAGAACCTCAGGGGCACGATACCTGCAAAGATTTACATTTCAGCAAAATGTAAAAACAACAAATTCCATGTTTGATGCAAAAAGACCAAAATACCCTCGACTCACCAGCGGGTTGAAACATACTCGGTGTATGGTGGTTGGGAGACAATCTCACGAGCAAGACCAAAATCAGCTATCTTTATTACATCCTTAGAAACAAGAAAGTTTTCTGCAACATTAAAAAAAAAATTAACTTTCTACTCAAGGGCACTATTGTAATTTTAACCAAATTTTTTTTTTTAAAAATAAATCTGACCAGGCTTAAGATCACGATGGAAGAAACCACGTTGATGCATATAAGCAAGACCTTGAAAAACTTGGAAGCACCAATTTCTAATATCAGTTTCTGAAAAAAGCTTCAGTCTATCTTTCATAAGTTGATAAAGACTGCATTCCTGCAAAGAGATAAATAAATAAAATTATATTTTTTATAAGAGTTGAAAAGTCAACAAAACAACAAAAGATATAACAAGAAATCTTCTTCTGTTCTTCATACCATGTACTCAAACACAAAGTATAAGATGTCATTTTCTCTGATCACTTCCTTCAGCTTCACAATATTTGGATGATTCATTTTACGAAGTGACTACAAAAAAAAAGGTTATATTAAAATGCAATACAAGATTTGTTATTTTTTTTTGTTAATTACATGATCTGTTAATTGTTACCTTTACTTCTCTCAGATTTATGCATTCTTCCCATGAATAATACTTCCTCTTCATTTTTTTAATCGCAACCTGTGTAGATAATAAGTAAATTTTAATAATAACATCATTACTTGTAAAGTTTAGAAGTAATTTAACTTTGAATGGAATAAGCAAGGTGTAATTTTAACTATAAAAACGTAAAAAGTTAAAAGTGAAGGGTTCAAAGTGATATTTTAAAAAGTAAAGGGGTGGAAAAGCCACAAACTCATAAACATAAAATATAGACAAAAGTACATAAATGGTCCCTATGGTTTATCCATGTTTACACACTCAGTCCCTGCCATTTGGAAAAGACCAAATTGCCCTCGCACTAACGGATGAACAGTAATGGTGTTTGCAAAATGGACCATTCACACAAGTTTTGGACATGTTCGTCAAAAAAATAAGCAAGGACTGAGTTTGTGACGTTTGGTAAACCACAGGGACCATTTATGTAATTTTGTCTTATTTTAATTATAAGTAACAAAAATTTATACAAAGGACTCACCACTTCACCATTTTGTTTATTCAACGCCCTCCAAACAACCCCAAAAGATCCATTACCAACTTCCTTGATTACCTTGTACCTAAACAACAACAAATCTAACATATTAGTTACAATTTCACATCATTTAAACCCTAAAATCACAATCAAGAAATCAAGAAATCAAGAAATGAACTCACCTTTCCATTTTTGGGTATGCAACTGCTAGAAGCACCTTTATTTACGAAGAACAGACACAAACATAGAAGAAGATGAAGAAGAAGAAACAATGGACTTAATCTCTAGACAACTATAAAAGAAGAACAAGAAGAAGAAGAAGAAGAAACTAGATAATAATATAATAATAAACTATCCACCATTAATTTTCTTGATGCATGAGCAAAAGAAGAGTGAAAAGCTTCTGATGGAAAGTTTTATTTATGGACACCGGATCGATGATGCCCAGATTTTCAAAAGGCATAGAAAGCAATAAGAAGTGAGAAGTGAAGGGCATCTTGATATGCTTAAGCTTTATATTCGTACCCAAAAAGAAATCTTGATGATGACTTTTTTACCCCTATGGATTCTGTTGCAAAATCTTCAGCCAATGTTTTTGTAAATCTAGTTGGTACCCATTAGAAAAGAGGAGTGTTGCTAAAGAGTATCTCATCTAGTAATTAACAGTGAATGCAAAATTCATCATGTACATGCAAAGTTCAGCCCTGCATTGAGAGAGGATGGAATGGACAGGTGTTAGAAACTACCACACAGGGGTAAAATGGTAATTTAATCAGCATACACTGTAGATGCCCTAATTGAAGCTTTACCTCAGTAGATGGTCTTGGAAGATTTAAAAGTGATTACTGTATCGGAAGTGCACTGGTTTCATCAAAAAAAGGAAATCAGTACAAACAAGATGAAAACTTTTTTATAAAGTGAAATTTGTCAATATGTTGACCAGCTTACTTGTCAATGTTGACTAAAGATCCAACACCTATCTCATAACAAACTTGCATTACGCCTGTAGACAGGAGGATGCTCACTAGGTGCAGTTAACAAAGGAAACAAGAAGAAAACATCTAGGGATGAGAGAACGCCAATCGAGCACTTTTTGGAATGAGAAAGCCTGATTCTTGAAACAATCTGACCAAGGGCATGTTTGCTCCATGTCTCAGAGGAAATTAAAACCTTCTCAAACTGAAAAAAAAAAGAATGATATTAGCTTAATGTAAGTGAGATATCAATCATATCATGCAGCAGATGAGATTTATCAGTTTCATCATGAGGACAGAGACTATAAAGTGATCACAGGATTATCATTGTAATAGAAACCTGAGTAATCATCCTAAAGATTCTAGCCTAAAATAGAGAATCATGATCTCCCATTATTTGTAATCTGGTTGTTGAAAACAACTTGTAATTTGAATAGATACCAAAAGTTGCATTATTGAATCATATTATATGCTTATGTGTGTATAATATATATGATGTATTATTGTAAAGGTGGAGAATAAAGGTAGCAACGTAAAGTATATTTTAAGAATATAGAAGATGATCAAGTGGGTGCAAAGATTAAAGAAAGATGAGAAAGAAAAGAGATAAAACATAAAAACTTGCAAGAAATCCGAGATGAGAATCAAGCTCCCCCAATCACAAGCAAATTCCCAATCGCGAATATTCTAGTGAATTACACCTAATAGAACTAGGGAGAAAGCAAACCTGATAGACCCTTAAGGCCTTAATCATACAAACATAAATAATTGTTCGATAATAAGATCGTCTTAGAGATTTGTTAACCTATATGTACATAGATTTTTTATTTCCATTGTTCCTAACGAATCCAGCTGTAAACCAAAATACCTAATTTCCAGATATCAAACTCAGAAAAAAAAATTCGCTAAAAATGATGTATACATGCGGAAAACCCCATTAAAAGATCCATAAAAACGCCAATAGATTAAACAAACGAAACCCTAAAACCAGATCTAATCAACCCGATTGAAAAGCAACCAAAAACAATCCAGATCTGGTTTCCACAAATTAAAAACAAAACGAAACGATCGAATATGAAACCAAAAAAGGGGGAAACGGTGGAAGATACCTGTAGGGTAAACGGCATAACCTTAGGGTAGCCACAGGAGGGCAAAGGCCTAACTCCAGAGCTTGTGATATTGGAGAAAGATGAGAAGAGACCCCCCACCCACCGATTAACCTATTGTGTAAATTAGCAATGTTATTGTTGCGTATGTGATTGTTGGTGACAAAGAAAACCTAATTATAGTCGTCAAAGATGGGCATCGTTTATATAGAGATACACGTGGGTGTACGTATATGTGGTGTGAGGATGACGCGATGGGGACACGACCACCCAATTAATTCAACCAATCCATCATGTTTGGCGCCTACAAGGCTACCATATCCCATTCCCAAACTCCAAAATTTGTGCACATTTACGTTTTGTTTTAAATGTTAAAAGATATTAAAAATTTTAGACAAAACTTCAAAAATGGTGTTGTGGTTTCCGAAAATCTGAAGTTTAGTCCCTAATTTTTAAAAACCTCACAGATGGTCACTGTGGTTTCAAAACTTTTAACGTTTAATCCTTATGGCTAACTCCGTCAGTATTTGTCCGTTAAGTGAAGGGCATTTTCGTCATTTCACTACCCGAGGAACCATTTATGAGGTTTTCGCTTAAATTTTTTTTAAAAAAAAAAAGAAAAAAAATAATATTTAATATGCAAGAGGTCCCGCATCTCTCTCTCTCTCTCTCTCTCTCTCTCTCTCTCTCTCTCACACACACACACACATAAGTCATAACCAAAACCGTAACACCATCAATTTTCCTATGAATCTGAAAATTAAAACAAATTTGGCCTTAAAACCTAAATTCGTTAACAAATTGAATCCCCACCGGAATCGCTACCTGTTAGGAGGAGCTTGCAGATCATCAAAGATCAGAGAGATGGTGTCACATCCCCAAAATCACGGCCAGAAAAGACCGGTTTCATTTATGCTTTTAAATAAAATTAGAGTAAATCCTTTGATTAAAAGAGTTGCGGAATTTGTCCCCAAAACAATACATGATAAAGTAAGGTTTATCAAAGCATTTCTTAAAGAAATGTATCTTCATTATATATATCAAAACTCGGGATGTCATGTTCCGATACAGACCAAAAGTATTAAACAGTACAACATAGACCTTACAACAGTTACATATAACTACTGGTCTATAATCCAAAAATATCTTGACAATGTCATCCAACTTATGCTCTCGTGTCACTACCTGTAATACAAAGAAAACTGAGTGGGTCAGGCTTGGGAGCCTGGTGAGCATATAGGGTTTTCAACCCACAATAAATGATTATATTTAATTTCACCAACCAACAATAATCCGATTACCCATTCCCGTTATCCTCACTTTACGTCCCTAAAACAATTAACCCAAGGGACCTAGCCTAAGGATTTTCATCGGGGCAACAACACTGCTTTGGGGGGTTTCCCAGCAATTTATGTCAAATAAGGCAACCATGGGGGGAATGGAGTACAGCAAATGAACACCCAAGTTCATTAACACCTACAGGTTATGAGTCTGCTAGCGTTCCATTGGACTATCTAGAAAAGTCTGTGGTCATCATCTAAACTCCGCTAGATGACCGAATCAGCAATAACAACGAGGCCTCTCACAATTTTATTTCATCACACACCAACTGTCTACCCATGTTCTACCCAACATATTAGTAGATAAAAATATATACATTTATAAAACCTGTGCAAATCATTCATTCAACAATTATTTCAAATAAACAAATAATATATAAACACATAGCACACATTTTATAAAGAATACTTCATATCTATGTGTTAGAAGAAAGTGACTACACACTCACTTGATCAGAAGATGATCGGACAGCACTACGGCTTTAAGAGTAGTGTTCTTCGGTGAAACCGGGAGATCTTCACACATCAGGCTTCTCGCGGGCAGGGCTTCGGCTCGGAAACTCTTTTCTTCTCGGGATCTTTGGAGCTTCGGGACTCGCTTCGGGTCTCGGGATGATACCGGGGCTTCGGGGGTACTTCGGGATGGCTATAGAGGGTATCGGGAGTGAGAGAGAAGAGATGGAGCAACCAAAATCGGCTGACCCTCGATTTCTATTTATAGAGCCAACATTCGGGATTCACGTCGTGAGTTTCCAATGCTCACGTCGTGAGCCTAGTAGGTCACTGCGTTCGTCACTCGTCCACTTGCTCTGGAAGACGTTCATCACTTGCTCACGTCGTGAACACTGTGCTCACGTCGTGAGCTCCGACACAGCCTCGAATTTTGTGTTCCGAACTTCAGAAATTCATATCTTTCGCATACGAGCTCCATTTTCGACGTTCTTTATATCCACACGTAGGTGAGATCATGCTCTACAACTCTCGTTTAGAATCCGTTGGCTAATTTTGATTTCATTTTTATTATATTATTTTTAGTAGGTCGGGACAGGAAAACTTGGTTAGAAAATCATATCTTCTTCATCTGACGTCTATTTTTGTCTGTCTTTTTACCGTTGGACTACTATCGACGAGATCTTCGATTCTCGTTTAGATTGTTTCTTCTAGAAATCACTCGATCTCATATTCGAACTTCGGGCTGCATACTGCTAAGCTGAAACTTAGAAAAATCATAACTTCCTCATACGAAGTCAGATTTAGACGTTCTTTTTATGCACGCTCTCAGTTTAACGTATTCTATGACTTTCGTTTAGATCACCAAGGCTAGATATCGCTCTATCTTAAATTCGTATTTTACGTCACATAGCGTCGTGCCGGTTCTGTCGCGAAACTTCGACAGGTCATAACTTCTTCGTTATAACTCGGATTTCGGCATTCTTTATATATTCGGAAACCTTGCCACGACCACTACAACTTCCTTCATAGATATCGGACTTATCTAATATTTTACTTTATCGCTTATTTTTATCCTTAATCCATTTAAATCACACAATTAAGCAATAAACACATAATACTCAAATAATACATCTTTATTATTTCAAAACGAGTTACAAAGGTTAACCTAGACTATTACATCATCATTAATGCCTAGCCTAGAAACACGGGCGTTACAGATGGAGAGGAGAATATCAACATAGATTAAAGAGGGGAGGAGAAACTTTGATGGTGGGAGATTGGGGGGTCACCGAAAAAGAGACTGTGGGGACTGTGGGTGGCTCGTCGGAACAACGATGAGAGGAAACTTCTCTTTACTTCGCTATCTCGCCGGAAAATAGAAAACACGAACCTCCAACAACTAAGAACCATCTTCTTCCTCAAAAATCAGCCATGAAAACCTTGAAATCGGACCTTGAAAACCAAGGAAATCAATGTTCAAAAGGTATGAGTGTTTATCATCTGTATATTTATCATATGGGTTTACAAGTTTCTCTAAAATCAGAACTTGAAACCTTGAAATCGGACCTTGAAAACAAGTCATATCACCACCACCATGGTTCAACAATTGAAATGGAAATGTTGGTCTCACCATCGTTCATCAGTTAAACTCACCTGTGTGTATGCATCCCCCACTATGTGTACCTGGGTTTCATCTTTGTTCTTATTCATAATACATCAATTATCATGAAAGTATAAATAATTGTGTTTTTGTTGTGAAATCAAAAGGAAGATATAGTCTTGTTAATGGGGGGTTAGGATAAAATAAAGAATCGCAGGTGTGTATGTGTATGAGAGAGAGAGAGAGAAAGGGAGAAAGAGAGAGAGAGAGAGGGTGGGACCCCCTTTATATTTCATTTTTTTCTTTTTTTTCAAAATAAATAAAAAACCTCATAAATGGTCCCTGGGTATTGAAATGACGAAAATGCTCCTCACTTAACGGTAGAAAGCTGACGGAGTTAGACGAAGGGACTAAACATTAAAAGTTTTGAAACCACAGGTTTTCGGAAACCACAGGGACCATTTTTGAAGTTTTGTCTAATTTTTAATTCTTAGTTTTTAATATTTTTTATTTTTACCAAAAAAAATTGATCATCATAGTTTACCAAAAACTATAGACAAGCTAAAAAAATTCAACATCCAAAGTTAGAAGATGTCCATGATCTGTTTAAATATTACAACATTTAGGGATTACACATATTTTGTTTTTGTATTCTAATGAAATTGGGCAGTATGATTCTCAACCGGCAGATCTGTTTAACCAAGTGGTCGTCTGGATCGAGGAATGTGCAAGTTGGGAGTTCGGGAAACCTCTTAACTGTTGGTTAGAACCTTCTTGGTGATGGATAGCAGGCTTTTGGTGGACCTGGGTTGGGATTACAGTCATGACTCGAGTTCAGCTTGGGTGTTTGGTCGAGTGCATGCTCGACTCTGGATGTGTTCGGATTGATAGATTAGTGGTAAGACCATGGGCGGCGGCTGTGGCAAAGTGGAAGTGTTGTAAGACTGCGGGGTGGCCCGTAGCACTCACTAGCTAGCATATAGTATAGAAGTGTTGTAAGACTGGGGGTGGCCCGTAGCATTCACTAGTGGACAGTTAGTGTGGGGGTGTTGTAAGAATGCGGGGTGGCCCGTAACATTCAACAGTCCCTGTGCAGCGGTGAGAGTGTGACAAATCTATGATTTGGTCACGGATTTCTTCAGATGGTTTAGACCAGGGTGGGTCAGTTCGTATGACTGTGGGAGGGCCACAACATGTTTGGAATCAGGAAATGGTGGGTCGTGGGAGACCGGGTATGATGTAAGACTATAGTTGGTCTTGTAGCGTTCAGTTTAGCATTGGGTTTGGTGACGAGATGGTTCGGGTAATTATTTTCAGTTGAGGCTTTCTTTCGGAAGTCGCGTGGGGCGACTGTGTGGGTGTCTTTTGGCTCAACAACCGGGCAGGAATCCGGTATTTCAGATAGTTAGCAGACAATTTGGGACCAGGGAGGTCTCGGCTGCTTTTGGAAAGCAGCTAGGAGGCAACGTGATGTTTTGGGCAGTATTAGTGATTTGGGATTCATGTGTGTGGAGTAGCTTGTTGTTTGGGAAATGCTAAGTCACTTACAGTTTGGATTAAATAATATTAGAGTAATTGATTTGACCATGTTGCACAACTCTCGTTTTGAGTCTAACCGTTGCAGGGATGAAACTTCTACTCAAAGGATTATTTGAGCCTTCTGTCAAGTATAAGTGTTCTACAGTTGTTTATGGTCAATGACTTTGTTTCCATTGGTAACATCATGATAATCAGGGTTGGAAGTATTTTGTTTAGTCTGTTATTCGATGAGGAATTTGCATGGTAATGATTCAGCGTGGGCGGTCTTTCGGGGAGTCAGACCAATGTAGAATTCAGGTTTCGGAAAGGTAGAAGTGGTTTTCTGCAGGGG